AAATGTGAAAAGTGCTATGAAGGAAACAGAGGGTAAAGATAAGAAAACAATAGGGCCGTCTTTAATAAAGTGGTTGGAGAAGATTTTTCTGATTTATTTAAAGTGTTATGGGAAGAGTAGATGAAAGAGCATCTCGGGCAGGCAGAGGGAACTTTATGTGCAAGGACCCTGAGACCGAAAAATCACAGAACCCAAGTAGACTAAGTATGCTTAGAACTGATGAGCAAAGGAGAGAATGGTAGGATATGAAGTTGCAAAATCAGAATACAACATTTATCTGACAATTGTATCTTTAATTATATTTTGCTTTTATTTAGTCTTTATATATTTAATTACAAATTACTGATATTTTGTTTAAATCTGCCACATTTTCCCATTTGACCATTTGTTAATTTTTAATGTCCTTTCTTTCTTTTACATTTATTAAGTCTTTTTATCCCCCCTCCGCCTCACTGTTAAACATTCTTTTTTTTTTTTTTTTGAGATGGAGTCTCGCTCTCTCACCAGGCTGGAGTACAGTGGTGCAATCTCGGCTCACTGCAACCTCCGCCTCCCAGATTCAAGTGATTCTCCTGCCTCAATCTCCTGAGTAGTTGAGACTACAGGTGTGCACCACCATGCCCAGCTAATTTTTGTATTTTTAGTAGGACCGGGTTTCACCATGTTGGCTAGGATGGTCTCAATTTCTTGACCTCGTGATCCGCCCACCTCGGCTTCCCAAAGTGCTGGGATTTCAGGCTGAGCCACCCTGCCTGGCCTATTCTTTTACTATTCTTTATGTTATTCCATAGTTGCAGCATACATCCTTGAGAGAATAAAGCTTAATGTAAATTAGTACATTTACCATTTCTACTTTTTGGACAATATAAAAACATAAAAGCATTTTTAAAGTGTATTTACCATCCTCCCCACCCTCCTCCCGCTGTGATATATGGGCTTTTGTTTTTGTATTTTTAGCTCAACACATTTAAGATCCCTGAGACATGACTGTTATTACTTTTTGCATATGTATCCTTTCTGTGCTCTATTTTTTCTTGATTATCTGGAGTTTCATTAGAATTAAAATCTAGCAAAACTTTAATGACCGTTATTACTTTTTGGATGTTTATATCTTTTCTGTGCTCTATTTTTTTTCTTGATTCTTTAGAGGTTCATTAGAATGCAAATCTAACAAAATTTTAATTTTGGGATCTGGGATCAGTTTTCTTCTGTCTGAAGAACTTCCTTTATTGTTTTCTCAGTACAGGTTCTAGAGACAGATTCCTTCCTTTTTGGTTTCTGAAAAGATATGTTTTATTTTTAAGTGATATTTTCACTGTGTACAGAATTTCGAGGTTGGTATTCATTTTCTTTTAGTACAGTTGATCCTTGAACAATGAGGGCATTAGGAGCGCTGACCCCTACACAGTTGAAAATCTGTGTGCACCCCTGCCGCATGTCAAACGCTGTGGGCGCCAACACCACCTACAAGGTAGATGTGATCCGTTGGCGTTTCTGCCCCTGTGTACGTGCTCGCGTATGCGTGCTCGCGTGTGCGTGCTCACGTGTTGTGCCTGCGTGTCAGGCCTGGTCTCCACACCCAGCAGCCTGGTCCTGGCCATCCCCTCACTGAGCTGGAGCCACAGAGGCTGAGACCTGCGGGGGCAGTCTCCAGGTCTGTCATCAGCACTTCCTGGCGGGAGAGCTGGGGTTTACTGGGCCTCGGGTGGTGTTGGGTGTGAGCACTGCCCACACGCCTGACTAGGCCAGCGTCCTGTAGGCTCTGGCCGAATGGCGCCCTTTCTCGTCCTGGGGTCGCTCCCGTGATCCTCAGTGCAGGGCCTGGGCACTCCCCGGTCCCTCCTCAGGCTTTGGTGGGTGGCTCTACGGGAGGCAGCAGGCCAGCCTCTGAGAGCCTGGGTCGGGGCCAGGCTCAGGTCACCTCTGACCTCAGGGCTCCGTCTGAGTGCCCTTCCAGCCACCCTGTGGTGCTGTGACAGTGGTCATCCCCAGCTTACCCGGTCAGCAGGAAGGGTCGGGGCTGCCAGCTCCACTCGGGGCCCCTGCCTGGCCGGGGACTCCATCAGCCTCGTAAGAAAAGGCACTGAGGCCCCTCATGCGTTCAGCAAAGCGTGTTGCGTCACCGGAGCCTGGTCTTGCTGCTGTGCAGGACACTTCCTGGTCCCCGCTGGTTCTAAGAGCTTGTCCCCGGAGGAAGGTCACCCAGCCTGGCTTCAAAGGTGACAGGTGGGCAATAGGGAGAAGTGTCAGGAACCTCTCCCCAACTGGGGTTTCTGAGGATCCCATGGCCTTCAAGATGTTCCCTTTCTGTTCTCTGTCCTCCCCGGGTAGGACCCTATTCCTGTCTCCTGAAGCAAGCTCTGACTCCATGTGCACTGACAGCTTCAGGCATGGCTCTGATGAGGCTGCACATGGCTGATGGGTGCTGTGGGAGGCCTGGCCACTGTGACCGTGGGGCAGTGGGATCTCCAGGTGGCCCACAGCCGGCAGCCAAATAGATGTTCCCCAGACAAGACAGGCTACAGGCCAATGTGTGGTCGGGTTTCAGTTTGGTGTGGGGGAGGTTAGAAGGGAAACCTCAGGCGGCTAGCGACCTTGGGCGGGGAGGCCTCAGGCTGTGGGCCATTAATGGGTTGCAGGGGACAAGCTGCCTCTCCCCAGGGAGTGGGCGGAGGGATGGGCAGTCGGAGAGGGCTGTCCCCTAGAGCCTTTGAAGCAGCCACTAGGACCACAGACCCCGTGAGAAAAAAAAAAAAGAAAGAAAAAATATCTCTGTGTACCTTTTGACTCCCTTAAAAATTTAACCACTAATAGCCTACCAGTGGCCAGAAGCCTTATTGATAACAAACAGAAAACACATAATTTATATGTGATATGCATTATATATTGTGTTCATACAATAAAGTAAGCTAGAGAAAAGAAAATAGTATTGAGAAAATCATAAGGAAGAGAAAATAGATGACATAAGTACTGTACCGTATTGATCCATATTGTAAGCTTATGTCATCTGTTTACAAGATGAATTGTCTGCCTGAAATAGTGGGCAACCACAGCTTCAGACCTCAATCTATGGTGCATATCCAGATATTCAACTTTCTCTTTTAATGTCATAACTTTTCTCTGCTTCTTAAGTGCACTTCCAGCACCACTTTTGGCACTTCATATGATTCCCATGGTCTTATTCAAGATTTATGATGTTGCACTAAACATGGCGAAAAACAAGTGAGAACCATGAAGGATTACGTTTTGTTTTTTTGTTTTTTTTTTTGAGACAGAGTCTTGCCTCTGTCACCAGGCTAGAGTGCAATGGCGTGATCTCGGCTCACCGCAACCTCTGTTTCCTGGGTTCAAGCAATTCTCCTGCCTCAGCCTCCAGAGTAGCTGGGACTACAGACACAGGCCACCACACCCAGCTAATTTTTGTATTTTTAGTAGAGATGGAGTTTCACCATATTGGCCAGGCTGGTCTTGAACTCCTGACCTCAGGATCTGCCCACCTCAGCCTCCCAAAGTGTTAGGATTACAGGTGTGAGCCACTGAACCCAGCCCAAGGGATCACTTTTTATTACAATACGCAATTTACTGGAGAGACAACTGCTCAAATGGTAATGATTAGTGTAACATGACTTTTTTTTTTTTTTTGAGACAGAGTCTTACTGTCACCCAGGCTAGAGTGCAGTGGCATAATCTCAGCTCACTGCAGCCTTTGCTACCTGATTTCAAGTGATTCTCATGCCTTAGCCTTCCAAGTAGCTGGAATTAGAGGAGTGCGCCATCACACCCCAGCTAATTTTTGCATGTTTTGGTAGAGATGGGGTTTCGCCATGTTGGCCTCCACCCACCTCAGCCTCCCAGAGTGCTGAGATTACAGATGTGAGCATGACACAGCATTTTAAGCTTGAGCTTACTCGCAACACTTGAGCTTACTCGCAATGCTTGAGCTTACTGCAATAGCCACAGGAGGTGGCTATGAAATTGTTACAGTAGTAAGATATGTGCTGTAGTGAATTTTATGCAGTTATGATTGAATATTGCATCTTTTTTTTGTTTACATTTCTGTCAACAGCAAGTGGTGTCATGTATGGTCTGTAAATGTGTGAGAGAAAGTTTTGGTAAATTTCAACTTACCAAAGTTAAAATTTCTTCTGTGAGTTTTTCAAATTGCTCCAAATCTCAAAAAAAAACTTTTGATATATTTATTTAAAAAAATCGGCATGTAAATGGACCCAGGCATTTCAAATCTGTGTTTTTCTATGGTCAAATGTACCTTAAAGTATGTCAGAAGCGTGGGAAAAAAAGTTCAAAGTATTTTTGAGAAAGTGAGCTATCCTTTCACTCAACAATAATAATCACAGACAAGATTTCTGTGACCAAGAATTTCTCACCACCAGCAAGCAAGCAATCAATTTTGTAGCAGAAACCAGCTAGGTGTCCTCCAATTCAAGTCAATTCTGATACTATTTTCCTGCATATAAAACCACAGGTTGAAGCCATGCACGGTGGCTGACACCTGTAATCCCAGCACTTTGGGAGGCTGAGACAGGTGGATCACTTGAGGTCAGGAGTTCAAGACCAGCATGGGCAACATGGTGAAACCCCGTCTCTACTAAAAATACAAAAATTACCCAGGCATAGTGGCAGGCACCTGTTATCCCAGCTACTTATGAAGCTGAGGCAGGAGAATTGCTTGAACACTGGAGGCAAAGGTTGCAATGAGCCGAGATTGCACCATTGCACTCCAGCCTGGGTGACAAGAGTGAAACTGTCTCAAAAAGAAAAAAAAAAAAAAACAGGTTTCGGGCTTAGTACCCAAGACCACCTCTGACCTCCATCAATCACAAGTCCGGGCCTATGGAACTTCTGACCTACCAGCTTCAATGTGGAGTTTCCATACCCCATCTTTGGGTTGATTAATTTGCTAGAGTGGCTTGCAGAATTCAGGGAAACTCAATATATGTTTATCAGTTTATTTATTTCCTTGCTTTTTTTTTCTCTCCTGATCCTGTTGTTCCTTCAAGGAAAGAGGCCACCAAAAGGCCAAGTTGAGGTACCAAGGAGATCTTTTCTCTCTCTTCCCACTTCCCACTTGCGCTTTCACTCAAGTGAAGCCAGGTGTAACTATACAGAGCCAAGAGAGTCATTTACTGGTCTATTATAAAGGATATCACAAAGGATGCAGGTGAAGAAATGCACAGGGAATAGTATGGGGGAGGAGGTTCAGAGCCTCAATGCGTTCAGCTATCCAGGAGCTCTCTGAACCCCGTCCTCTTATGCCTTTTATGGAGGCTTCATTGGATAGGTATAATCGACAACTGTGTAGAAGTGTTATTAGACACAAAGCGTATGATCCACTAATAGGTTGAGTGGGGAAACTCAGCAAGGCCTATCTGGTTCAGATTCTTTTTGTCCTCTCTGAGCTGCATTCTTTCCTCCAGCGAATGTAGCAGGACCCCTTCTGAAATGGAGGTCTTATGACCTACAATCACATAAGGTAGATCAGAGAATGTCTTTATGGCCAGCTCCAAGACAGAAAGGCAGGGAAGATTTCTGACTTTGGGAAAGGAGGAGCAGATGAAAGGAGGCAGGAGATAAGAAAGAGGGATTCTGTTTTCTGAGGCCTATATCTGTGGTTTTAAGTGCCCCACCATTAAATACTGTAACAAGGGATATGGGAGTTATAAGCCAGGAACTATGAACAAACGCCTATATATATAGATATTATATCTGTATATATATCATAATGTCACACATATCCTTCTATTTTATTCTCGTTTCCATTGTTTTTATTGGGAGGTCAGCTGTTAGTCTAACTTTTGCTCTTGTGACGGTAGTATGTCTTTTATTCTCTGGTTGCTTATAAGATTTTTTCTTTGTTTTAAGCTTTTGCAGTGGGACTATGTGTCTAGGGGTGGTTTCCTTTATACTATTTTGTTAGAGATTTGTAGAGCTTCTTGAATATATGGCTGAAGCACCTGTAGGTAACACCAACATCTAGGTATCTATGGATCTGTCTCTTATTTTATTTTGTTTTGTTTTGTTTTTAGACAGAGTCTGGCTCTGTTGCCCAGGCTGAAGTGAAGTGGCACAATCTTGGCTCATTGCAACCTCAGCCTCCTGGGTCCAAGCAGTTCTCCTGCCTCAGCCTTCCAAGTAGCTGGGATTACAGGCACAGGCCACCATGCCTGGCTAATTTTTATATTTTTAATACAGACAGGGTTTCACCATATTGGCCAGGCTGGTCTCAATTTCTTGACCTCGTGATCTATCCACCTCGGCCTCCTGAAGTGCTGAGATTACAGGAGTGAGCCACTGCACCCAGCCACTGTCTCTTATTTTAATCAAGTTTTGCCCTTTTACATTTCTTCTTTTTACCCGATTTACTGCCAAACACTGTAAATAAAAATTTTAGTTATGATTTGAGGCTCGCTGGGTGTTATCTTTCCCCAGAGAGAATTTACTTTTGTTACTGGCAGCAAGGGTTGAGTTATAAGCCAGGAACTATGAAGTTCCTGGATCATTTCTCTGGACTTGATTTATTTCAGATCTTTCCCCCAAATTTTCACTGTCTTTGTAGCTCTCTGATGCCTTCAAACAATTAAAAAACAAAAATTGTCTAGTTTTTCCAGCTGTCTTAGCTGGGAGATTGTTCTGGAACAGATAAAAAAAATATATTATTCTAAAAGCAATAGGAAGATATTAAAAAGTTTTAAGTAAAGATTTGACATAACCTGATTTCCATTTTAAAATGACCTTAAATTAATTAGTTGTTTGGTCATGTCTTTTCTTAAAATGTCACTAAAGCTTTCTTTTGCCTACATTTCTATTGATATCATCCTAGTCTAAACTATATCTAAGTCATTAACTTGGATTATTGTTTTTATCTCACTTTCATGGTCCCCTGAAAGACATCTAACATATCAATGTTAGATTATTTATCCAGAGATTTGGTTTATATCTATATTTGCAAATTAAAAATAGCTATGAAGGCCAGCTTTGGTGGCTCATGCCTGTAATCCCAGCATTTTGTGAGGCAAAGGCAGGTGGATCACTTGATGTCAGGAGTTCGAGACCAGCCTGGGCAACATGGAGAAATCCCATTTCTACTAAAAATACAAAAATTAGCTGGCTGTAATGGCATATGCCTGTAAGTCCAGGTATTTGGGTGGCTGAGGCATGAGACTTGCTTGAACAGGTGAGGCAAACATTGCAGTGAGCTGACATTGAGCTACTGCACTTCAGCCTGGGCAACAGAACAAGACTGTCTCAAAACAGAAAAAGTGATGGGATTTTTAAAGTAGCACTATTAGTCACACAGAAAAGTAAATCAACTTAAGGTGATTAAGTAACTTGCCAAAAGTAACACAGTTAAGTCACAGCTATGTGTTGAATCTAGGTCTTTTCAATTTTAGAACCTATATCAATTATTTTATATTACAGATATGCATTCAAATTATATTTTCTTTAAATGAAGCAGCATTTATATTCTTTTGCTGCCAACAAAACTTAGTTAATATTTAAGTAATAATAAAAAGTTAAAACTTTTATTGTTTATGCTCATTGATGTCAAAGTTGCTTGAGCTGAAATTGAGTAAACAATTTTCGAACCAAGTGACTGGTGCTGTCAGAATGACAGAAACCATGTTGAGAATAAGGCCACCCAGGAAGAAATCTTTCTCTGTGAATATCTGTTTGTTTGTTTTTGTGTTTATTTATTTTTTCAATCAGAGATTGATGGCTTTGAAATCCCATAAATAAAAAGTCCTGGGCCAGGCATGGTGGCTCACGCCTGTAATCCTAGCACTTTGGTAGGCTGCGGCAGGCAGATCACCTGAGGTCAGGTGTTTGAGACCAGCCTGGCCAACATGGCTAAACTCTGTCTCTACTAAAAATGCCAAAATTAGCCAGGAGGCTGAGGCAGGAGAATTGCTTGAGCCCTGGCAGCAGAGGTTGCAATGAACCAAGATCATGCCATTGTGCCACTGCACTCCAGCCTGGGTCATAGAACAAGTCTCCGTCTCCAAAAACAAAAAAAAAAAGTCCTGGATATGGTTAAAAAAGACTATAAAGATATTTCGCAAAAACAGCATGAGGAAATGTATATTCTTTCTTTCACCCATATATTGTTTCATGATTCTTCTATAATAGGACTGTAAAGCATGAGGAAACTACAAAAAGCTACCATGTTAGGAGTGAAAAAGAAAGCAATTCTTCCAGATGTGGTTGCTAACAGATAATAATAAAAAGTGAAGCCTTGAACCAAGAAAATCCCCAGCATGACTCAGTATAGACCAAGATTCCAGAAAAAGCTGATTTCTTTCCAAACAAAGAACATGAAGTAAAGCACAGCTGATCCATATGCTACTACATTCATTTCAGTTTTGTTTCCATCTATCTTTTCAGAGATGTTTGACACTAGCCTGTGTCATTATTTATACTATTCTAGAATTTGAATCCTTTCTATTTATACATAAACATTTACATTGATTTCATATTTATAATTTTAAAAAGAGGGTATAAGGTATAATTTAGTCCTTTGTAATTCCTTATTATTTGATCAATATATATTTTTAAAAGATCAGGAACTTTTTTTCCAAACTACAGATTCTTTTTTTTTTTAAGTTTTGTGGGTACATAGTAGGTGTATATACTAAAGGGGGAAGATGAGATGCCTTGATACAGTATGTAATGCATAGTAATCACATCATGGAAAATAGGATATCTGTACCCTCAAACATTTATCTTTTGTGTTACAAACAATCCAATTATACTCTCTTAGTTATTTTAAAATAAACAATTAAATTACTATTGACTATAGTGACCCTGTTGTACTATCAAATATTAGGTCTTCTTCATTGTTTGTATCTATTTTTATTTTGTACCTATTAACCAGACCCACTTCCTCTCCACCCCTTCACTACCCTTCTCATCCTTTGGTAACTCTCCTTCTACTCTCTATCTCCATGGGTTCAATTGTTTTGATTTTTAGCTCCCACAAATAAGTGCAGACATATGAAGTTTGTCTTTCTGTGCCTGACTTATTTCATTTAACATGACTTCCAATTCCATCCATGTTGTTGCAAATGACAAAATATCATTCTTTTTATAGCTGAATGGTACTGCATTGTGTGTATGTGCACATTTTCTTTTTTTCAATTATCTGTTGATGTACACTTAGATTGCCTCCAACTTTTGCTCTTATAAACAGTGCAGCAGCAAACATGGGAGTGCAGGTATTTCTACAATATACTTACTTCCTTTAATATGCTGATATACCCAGAAGTGGGATAGCTAGATCATATGGTAGCTCTATTTCTGGTTTGGGGAACATCCAAACTGTTCTCTATAGTGACTGTATATGGCATCTTTACTTTAGTCTTTACTAGGTACTACAATAATTTTCATTTCTGAGTGTATTTAGAAACATTGAGTATTTCAAGCACTTATTTCTCCAGAGACTAAGACACATGTATCCCTACAAGCATGGACACGGATTGGGAGTAAGGAGAAGCAGAGCCTTTGCTGGATTTTGTTTTGTTTTGTTTTTAATAAAATTGCTATTGATAGTCTTCCCATTAATCTCAGCCTCAATATCTTCTATTTACATTTATCAGATTAAATTGTCAATTTCCATTTCAGGTATACTTTAAATTCTTGATATGATTTGTAGGAGGTTTAAAAATTTTTATACTTGTTTTGTTTTGAGACAGGGTCTCACCGTGTCACCCAGGCTGGAGTGCAATGGCATGATCACTGCCCACTGCAGCCTTGACCTCCTGGGCTCAAGTGATCCTTCTGCCTCAGCCTCCTGAGTAGTTGGGACTACAGGCCCACACCACCATGCCCAGCTAATTTTGTATTCTTTGTAGAGATGAGGGTCTCACAGTTGCCCAGGATAGTCTCAAACCCCTGGACTTAAGCAATTTTCCCACCTCAGCCTCCCAATGTGCTGGGATTACAGGCATAAGTTACTGTGCCCAGTCTTCTTGATATCATTTTATTTAGCTAACATATTTTGGAATATGATGAATCACCTATGTATCTTGGAGTGATTTTTTTGTAATTTCTTAGATTTGAAATGCTGTGATTCAGACCTGATGGATAGAATAGAAAAAGTTAGACTAAAAGTATGATAGGATGA